CTGCTGAAATTTCAGGGGGTGTTTTGAGCTGCAGTGTGGTGGATAAAAACATCATGCTTTGTCAATGGAAATTCTTCCATCTGTAAAAATGCTCCAGTGGATCCAAGCCAATGAGTTGCTACAGATGGTTCAGGAGTTCAGCTTCTAAGAGTGTGCTGTTTGTTTGTTTGTTTTTTTGGGGGGGTAAGCAGGGGGATTGCTATTGCTTTAAAGTTGCTTTAAAGCTTTAAAGTCTGGATGCCCCATGCTCCTCTTTCCTGTTGGTAAATAAACCGTTATTGCATCACAGTGGCAAGTCTCTGGAGTTTATTCCTACAAGGCTGCCCCCACGAAACTTTCTATCATCTGGGTCTATCTCTCTTCCTTTGAGTGTTCCCTCTACAAATGCATGCAGCATTATGCTCATTCTAATTTAGACTGGCACGATGCTAGATGTTTGTGCCTCAGCAGCAACTGTTCAGTAGTTTACTATCCGTAAATTGCAAACACCACAAAGCTCCCAAGGCTGCCCCCTGAGGGTGGAAAGACAGAATCAAAAACAAAATCCCTGTACTACCTTTTATTAAGACCAGCCCAAATTGATACAAAACATGGTACATGTTTTCAAGCTCTGTATCAGGCTGGATGTTACAAAATGCAAAAAAACAGAGGTGGGAAGCAGATTTTTCAGCTGTGATGCTATGACCTGATCATACAAGCATCCTCTGTGAAATGCATGCAGGTGCAAAACTTAACTTTATTGCTGGTGAAGTGAGTGATAACTGCAGAGCTGGGAAAAGTACAGAGGAGGGCAACCAAGATGATTAGAGGGCTGGAGCACCTTCCCTATGAGGAAAGGCTGAAGAGTCTTGGACTTTTCAGTTTAGAAAGGAGAAAACTGAGTGTTTATAAACGGTTTATAAAATTATGCATGGGATGGAGAGTGTTGAGAGTGCTGCATCACTATGCAGCTGCGCTACGGCATCAGCAAAAATACCTCCCATTTCTTTTTCAGTTTAGTGGCACAAGACTAAAAAAGCTCTCCAGAGCTTCTGCTAGAGGACTCCTCCCCTGTCATGTGGCAGATCAGGTGGGCAAGCTAGATCCACCCAGAACTGCACAACACAGTCCAAAATCCAGTTCCAAAAGTCACTTCACTCCCAAAAGTCAAGGCAGAGAGCCAGTACCAGAGGGGTTGTCCAGAAAGCATAGTCAGAAGGTCCAAGGGTCACATTCAAACAAGGGGTTCACAAAGTCAAAGGCCAGAGCCAGTCCAAGGTCACGCAGGCACAGCAGCTGTGGTCACTGCATCTAGCAGAGTGACTTTGTACTTCCACAAACAAGCAGACTCCCTGAGCTGGTTTTATGAGTCTTGTTAGCAGCCAGCTGCTGAAGCATAACTCTGCAACTATTCCAAGATGTTATCAGCAAGCAACTGGCAATGGGCCAGGAGCTGAGCACTCTGTCGCCTTTCTTGCAGCTCCCTTCTTAGTCACAGCCTTCGGTACTCAAAGGGTGGAAGTGAGCCTGGTGGACTGTTAATGCTTAACTGAAGTTCACCTGCTGCATCAGAACGGGGTGCTGGTGGTTCTGAATCAGCTGCTGATTGTAAGCCTTGCCAGCTCAGAGCTGGCCACATGAAGCTCCTCTTCTCCTGAGGAGTCTGCTTCTCCTGAGGAGGCCCCTGCTGCTGAGCTCCAGCTGACCTACTTCTCCCAAGAAGTCCATGCTGCTGCTGAGCTCTGGGTGGCTCATGGCATCCCCCATACAAATTGCACTCCTCTGCAAAGCATGGTGGAGTTGCAGCTGACTTTGCACAGGTGTGCACACACACACACGTTGCCAATGATCAGAACGTGCAATGCCAGTATCAGTGGGTTCTACCAGTTTCAGTTTAGTTTATTGTAATTAGCCATTGGCCGTTACAAAATTACAAACACAAATTGTGAACGAACTATAGGTTAGAGTCAGACTATACAAAAATACCAAAGATCGTTAACAAAATATGATTAATTTAATACAGTAGCCTAAATAATACCCCTTCCTGATGCCACATTGGAACGTATATTCTTTGCAGCAAGGGCAAATAGTGAAACTTTAGAAGAGACATATGCATCAATATAACAAAAATGAGATTTTCCCCTCAACTGGGTAAGCACTAAGACCAGATAAAATACCTGCTAAAAATATAGCCCTCGGACTAGAATACAATTGGCAAAAGAGAATAAGGTGAGGTAAATCCTCAAGTTCTTGGGTACCACAAATAC